GAATAAGTAATTACTTCGACTAAAAAAAGTATGTTCTATATAGTATGATTGCGTGCGGTATGAATGTAAACCGGACGGACTACTTTCGCCATGCTGTCATTATCGTGCAAGCTACCAGTGTCAGTTGTGTCACTTCACTGCCATTCATAAATCCTCTCCTATGGCCTTAATGGGACAGTAAACTCACTTCAGGACCTACCTATTTTTTTTTTTAAGATAACTTACTTTGTATTTGTAACCTGGTTAAAAAAAAACACACACTATTCTCAGTTGTAACCGAGTTATGGTCTAGCGATGCATCAGACAAAATCTACAAAAAATTAGAACAAAAATGTACAAAATCTGCTTCACCGTCGCAGTGCTGTCGTCATCGTGTAAAGCCCGCCGCAACGTTTCTGTTTGGTGTGCCGATTTCAATGGATTAGAAATGGGTTTTAATGAGCTGTTTGCCAGACTGACTTGTAGAGCAAATCTTAATTTACCAGAAGTTGTCTGGGTTTTCCCAGGCTAATGTTTTCAAACAAACTTTACACCTTATAGTAAGGAAGCATCCGATTTCAGATACAGCAAAATAAGCCAAATGCAATTTCAGATGCAGCCATTGAACTTTTGATTTTGCAATGTACTTCATATTTATAAATGCCAATTAACCAACATTTGTCTTCACAAAATTATTTAAACAATGTAATTAAACTCTTTACACTTCAATACAAAGTTATTAATGCAATTAATCTTGTTCTTACAAGCAAAAATTATCATTCCTATGGAGAAAATGCTCCCATTATGGTTGCTAAATAATAAGGTGATCACTGTGGCACTTAGCAATACAACCTGTGAGCAGTAGGCCTACTTAAAGTTGGTTCACACAGATCATGTATGTCAGCGTCTTGAATCAATTGAGTCTTACCTTGAAGTGAACACGAAGGTTGGAGCCCCTCGACTTGCATGCTGTTGAAAACACAAACAATTAAACCCATGTTCAGTAATGCACAGCCATTTGGCTGAAAAGTAACTTAGCTACCAACTCACACTTAGTCGGGTTCTCTGGGTCGAGTGAGTAGCGGACCATTTTCAGTGATCTATACGGAGAGAACGAATCAAAACATAGTTAGAAGAACAGGCGGAAACCAGATCCCAAACTCGACAAACAAAAAAAGCCACCGTTAATGAACGTCCACAAAGATAAAACACACTGATACTAGAAATAATAAGGGCACCGCGTGATACATACATCGAT